CAAACTTATCAGCTTTATAATATTAATATAGATATAATATGGTAGTAAAGATGACTGAAATGCGAGTTTTCTGAGGAGTTATTCTCCCTTATCCCTCCGTCAGCTTTTCTTCAGGGGACCACGCTAGCCTACGTTGTCACCGAATTACTGTGGCCACCATTCCTACTCGAATAAAGAAATTGGGTGACTCATTTATTTGTCGTACTATTCGCAAGAGGAATTCTTTGCCGGCACACGTGTTCCCCCCTTCCTGCAATATAGGGTCCTTTAAGAGAGGCGTGAAGAAGCATTTCTGCAGGCCGGCAAGGTGAGAATGGTTGGTGGCAGTTGGTAATTGCTGTACCAGCTATCTTCGCGTCTGGACTTTATCACCACTTAACATCAGGTGGGGTAGAGTCATTTGCCTACCTGGTTATATAAAAAAGAGTATCATTTTACTTTCGCCCGTCACAGAACTGGCGCGCCATTAATGCTATAACTACTTCGCCCGTGACAAAACTACCCGTCGACATAACGATATATCATTTATAATGAGGAATTATTCCTGAATACATTATTCGATCGAACCCAAGTTTCGAACCCGTGAAATCCTTCGTGTATTGACAGAACATGATTAATGTCTTCGCTCGGAAATGATATTTTCTGCAGACACCGTAAATTTTCATTTATTGCCAGCGGACAGACGTCGTCCTACTCGATAAGAAAACTGGCCAAGTGCGAATCAAACTCGCACACGAAGGGCTTCGTACCATTATCTATACAACATAGCTAGAAGCTATTATAATACTAGCTGTGACAGCAGCTTCGTTCGTGTTGAGGTTGGAATAGATCAACTTGACGTACGTAGATGGATGGACAGCATGATTTTTATGGTTAAGTGAAGAGCTCTGTATCCCTAGCACGACCCATTATCAAATTCGAATAGTTTGCAAACCGAAATGTCAATGTCAAATTTTGTATGGAAACTTGAACAGCCACTTTGGACGTAACGGGAACTAAAAATCAGTACACATTTGATAATGAAATTTCGGACTCGCAAACGTTACGAATTCGATTTTGGTTCGTGCTAAGGGTACTGATTTCTTTAGGCTCTACTCTTTGTAAACGATATAAGGTGTGAAATCTCATGGAACATTAAATAAAAGTACATTGCTGGGGTTATTTACACTCAAAAGAGCTTTATACAAATTCAATTTTAAATTGAATACTTGACGTCTATTCCCGCAAAGAATAAAGTCTGATCCTATTACATACTTTAGGACGGCGCTGCCCGCCTTTCTCCTCATGTTGCTAAATGCGCACGTTGTACTCAATCCTTTGTTTTGTTACGGAGTTATTTTAAAACTATGATATCTCCTAAAATATTCATTGAAATCTAATAACGTCAGGGGCAATTCGGTAAAAAAAAGCAACCGACTACGCGCACTGGCTCCGACTCATGCATTTTGCTGTTTTCTTCTACCTAGATCTGATTTTGCCGGCTCGTTTAGTTATGGATATTATTACGGAAGGCATGCACACAAACACACACACACACACACACACACACACACACACACACACACAAAACCAAACACACACGTACACAATCATTCACACAAATTTTGTTATTAGGCTCCATTTAGAATTTTGATTATTATAGGTATTTATTTACGTTTATCGCAAAATGAATTTGAATCTTTCGTTGGTATTTTCTTTTATATTATTGTTAATTGTAATTTCTACCCTAAGTAATCGTTTTAATTTTATGAAATGAATACAAAGTGAGGTTTTGTGTTTGGCTAAAGTACTATTTAAAAAAAACATTAGTTTACTTAAATTAAGTAAGACGCTGTTGAAACTTGTTCATGATACTTGAATCAATAAAAATTAAAAACTTTTGATGCATAAATAAAGTCTTTATTTTTGAAGTGAAAACTGCTTTAGAGGCTTTGTACACTTTTTTGTATGGATAAAAAATGTTAAACTCGCGTCAGGTTAAACACGTGGGCTGATCGCATCATGACACACAATAAAATTGGAAAGTTAGTTGACTTTCAATATATTGGTCTTTATCTAGGACGTCCACTGGCAGCTTTATTGCGAAGAAAATGCATTTTTTTACAATAGATGTCGTTAAGTGCACTACGTGATTCATGTAAGTTGATTTTTCTGAGAGATAAACTTTTTTAATGTAATATAAATTGTCATGTTTGTATACGATAGCGCAATAAATAAATATTGTATTCTACCACATACACGATAGTATTTTTATACTGATAATTAAAGCAATTCGTGCAAAATTATTCCCTAACCATTCCAAGATATCAAAAATGCACAACGTTAATATTCAAGTTTTCACTTCTGCCGGCACTCCCGGAGTGCAACCCGTCGTTATTTTTTAAATATTACAAAGCTAAATTGTTTGTTTTTAAAGGAGAACTATTTCTTCATACATGAAATCAGAAATCAGAAATCAATACATCTTTATTCAAATTGGATGTATAGTGTATCTCTTTTGAATCGTAAAATGATTTTTGTGTAACTTTAACCGTTTGAGCGCATGCAACGAAAGCTCTGACAAGGAAGGCTTTTATTTTCTGAGCAAGTTTCTTGATTATTTTTCGTACAAAACCGTCCACAAAGTAATAGAAAACTTAAAAAAAAAAACGGAAACCGGTATTCGCACTCGCCCACCGAGGACTCCGTACATAAATTTATCGAAATCGACATAAAAAGTGAGTTGGAAATTAATATTCCATCGAAGACAATTTGAAAATATTTTCCTTTTCAGGAAATTGTGGGCGTTTAAATTTATAAGGCTGCTTGTTACTGCAGAATTTTGAGTTTTTAGGGCCACTTACCTCCATAGCAAATACGGAATCATTTGTAACTTTACTTTGTTGTTGGCCGTCCATCAGTTCGCCATAAGCCTATAACCTACAAATTGTGATGCAAATCTATACTTATAATCGTAGGAAAGACAAAACTGTACATTGAATATTTTCTTAAAAGAATACTTGGGGTATGTATTATGTACAATCGATATCGAAGCCAAAACTATATTTATTAGAATTTTTGTCAGTTTGTCTGTATGTATGTCCGGGATAAACTCAGAAAGTACTGCAAGGATTTACTTCAAATTTAGCACGAATATTATTAAGAAGTCGGGTCAACATATAGGCTACATATTATTACGAAACTCCACCCCTAAGGGGGTAATACGGGGGTTGGAAGTTTATATGAAAGTCCTATGTTTTTGAAGTCAAAATCTTGAAATTTAACATGCATACTCTATAGATGGTGTAGAGGTGTACTAATAATGTATCTTTAGAAATAAACCCCCTTTTGGGGTCAAAAAGTACGTGCAAATAACTAACTCCACGCGTACGAAGTCGCGGGCGGCCGCTATTTAATAAATACTTAAATGTAAATCTCAACGCACTGAAAACCAATTTAATACACTACAGATTTAAGCATTTCATTTTCGTCATCTTCAACCTATTAATGTCCCCACTGCTGGGGCACAGGCCTTCCCTATGGGTGGAATAAGGAACTGGGCCGTGACCCACCACACCCGCCCAGTGCGGATTGGTGGATGCTAACGACTGCAAGTGCAGCCGGGGCCAAAGGCTTTACGTGCCTTTCGAATAACGGAGGAACTAGAGATAATAAGTTTTTGGTCACCCATCCAATAACCGACCATTGAGAATATTTCTCAACTTTCACGATCGCAGGCCGAACGCGCTAACCACTAGCGCCGTCGAGCTCCTCTTAGAACTTGAATATATCAAATTCTCGGAAAAAAATACCGTAGGTACTTATTTATTCGGTTGTGAGGAAGCTTTAAGAGACCTGACGCTGAATATATCTGACAGTTCCAACGAATCAGATACACACAAACTGACACAGAAAATAAAATAAATTTCTCGATCCAAATGTGAAATTCAATAAGCAATGTGGGTGCAAATAAGATTAAGAAAGAAACCTCTTTTCAGTATTCGTAAGCTTCAAAGTTTTCCTTGGATCTTCCTTTTAGAAAGATCCACTTCATTTTAATGTTGGAAAGTCATGTTGTCACTTTGATAAAGTATGGCCGTTTGTAACGTACTAAGAAGCTTTCTCGACTCATAAACTAATTTAGGCGCAGCGCATACCAGGAGAGGTGCGGCAAAGATACTGTCAAGAATGACGCTCACATCTGCGGCACAAGTCCTCGACTACGGCGGATGTTAACGCTGTGTATATGTTTCGTGTGAATGTTTTCTTGTTATGATTTTATTTATTTTTTAAGCATTTAACTGCTAGATTTTTAAATCTTGTTTTCTTGTTGTTAATAATTTAAATTAAACCATTATTATTCTCAGAATTATTCTCAGAAAGGTCTCCCAATTTTGGAACCGGTGGTAGTTTAGGGTAGTTAGGGTCAAATAAATAATCTCAAAATTACGAAAAAGAATTTTAAATAAAGTACTTTATTAACTAAATTAACTAATAAATTCGTACATAGACAATAAAATTTTCAATGAAATAACCGAACGCTCAATAAAAGTCTTTCGAAGGTAGCTCGACAAAATTAAATTAAATAACAAATCAGTATTTTGACGAAGCAGACCTGAAAAAGCTGCCAAACGTCAATAAATAAATAAAATTTCGTGCATTAACCCGTTAAAACTAGTTTTATTTTATGAGTGATGTGCGTGAAAACCTAAGAAACAAATATTAAACCATTATTCCTATAACATAAGTTCAAAACATTTCATGGCCAATATGGAACATAACACAGCACTACGAATCCGCCACGAGACCCGACGCGCGACATCTCCGCTCCGTGGCTGTAGGCCGAGCTCAAAAAAAACCGAACGCCGCTCCGTGGTTCTTGGGCGCGCTCGTAGTCACCGCGATTAGTATCATAGCCGCTCTCTCTCTCTCTAAGTGCACCTCTCAAATAAAATCGGGCTGCATTAAACTTTCAGGCTTAATCACTAAGTCGATAAATGAATTTTAATTTATTGTTCACAGTACTACCATGGCCGCGACGTTCTTGCTGCTGGGGTGCCTGGCATCCACGCACGCTTGGGGTGGGCTGTTCAACCGGTTCAGCTCCGACATGCTCGCGAACCTTGGCTACGGCAGGGGGCCGTACCGCCACTACGCTTACGGACAGGTAACAACCTCTTATAATCAACATTAGCCGTCTATTGTCCCCACCACTGGCAGGAGCATACGCTTTCATCATCATCATCACCAGCCTAGCCAGAAGGATTTTAATATCCCCACTACAAGGGTAAAGGCTTTCCCTATGGATGGAACAGAGTGATTCGGTCATCTAGATTCTACCACACGGGCCCAGTGCGGATTGGGGAATGCTAACGACTGCAAATGCAGCGGGTTTCTGAAGCACCGAGGAGCTCGAGATGATAAGTTTTGGTCACCCATCTTGAATTTCCACGATCGCATGCCGAACATGCTATCCACCTACGCCATCGAGCTCCTCTTACCAAACTCCTTCCCCATAGATAAAATAGCGAGATTGGGCAATGACAGTTGCAATAGTATCACACCTATTCACTTATAATCTAATCACAACTTGGAACTTTATATTGAACTAGCGACTAAACACTAAATGTGCCGGTGGAGTTTACAAGAATTAAACTCTCTCTTTTCGAATCTTTTCCTCGTTACTGAAGATCGTGATCACATGATCTTGGCATTCTTTATGACTTGTTTCTTCGGTCTCTGTGTAAGACTACCCTCACTGCCTGACTTTCCATGTCAGTTACGTGGCCGTGGAACACACTTATAATCATCATCATCATCAACAGCCTATTAATGTCCCCACTGCTGGGGCATAGGCCTTCCCTATGGATGGAATAGGGAGATTGGGCAATGACCCTCCACGCGGGCCCAGTGCGGATTGGTGGGTGCTAACGACTGCAGATGCAGCCGGGACCAACGGCTTAACGTGCCTTCCGAAGCACGTAGGAACTCGAGATAGTAAATTTTTGGTCACCCATCCAATGAGGGACCACAGCGAAAGTTGCTTAATTTCAACGATCGCAGCCGAACGCGCTAACCACTTGCGCCATCGCCACTTATAATACATCATTGTATTCTTATAGGAAAGTAGTAGCATCAGTTTTCCCTTACCTTCTGCGCCAGTATTTTTGGGATTGTTTAGACACAAAGGTCTCTTGAGATCTCATCTATACAGTTGCCCAGTTGAGTGTATATACGGTTATACCGCCATTGCTCGATTCCAGAGCCTCGTCTGTAAACTATCAGAGAGAACTGCATGCAGGTGAGGATGAAAATTAGGACCAGTAAGACGTTATGAACTCCCTCCTTTCCCGCTTGCGAATACTACCTAGATTAAAAGAAATATCAGTCGAACTTATAAAGCCATTTACATAAAAGATTTCTACTAAATCTGTATTTTTTCTGCTTAAGAGAAAAAATTAGTAGTGCTCAATTCAGTGCCGACATATATAATATGCAACAATATGGACATAACGTAGGTAACGATGAGAACCACCGCAAGACCTTTATAACGTCTAAAATTATATCTGATATAATAATATATTTTGCTTGCACTAAATTCCTTGTAGGTTTGCAAAGCTAAAGGTCACTGAGCATGTTACCTGACCTTTGCTGACACTAATTCGTTTTCATGGTCGATATAAAAATATTCAACAATATCCTTTCCAGGCAAAGAAACGAGGTTGGTTTTAAAATATCTTGCTTGTCACTCCAAATAAAAACTATTTAAAGTTTCATCCCATGTCAAGAGGTACGGTTGCTTTCAACATCACCATCAGCCCGCACCAGTCCACTGCTGGATATAGGACTCGCTCATGGCACGCCATTGAGCTCGGTCTTCAGCTCTCCTCATCCAGTAGTAATTGCCCGCTGCTTTTCGGATATCGTCGCTCCATCTAGGACCACATTACATTTGCCGATTCACGGTCTTCACTTCAGGATGCGTCTGCCTCAAAGTCTTACTGTTCTACGAAATATGTGACCAGCCCACTGCCTCTTCAGCTCTCTTACTGGTTGATATTTTGTCAGTAACTTTAGTTCCGTGGCGAATTACTTTGTTCCGGATCCGATCCCTCTGAGAAATCGCCAGCGTAGTTCTTTCCATAGCTTGCTGAGCGACCTTAATTCGGTGGATTCGCCTTTCCATTAGTCGCCACGTCTCTGCTTCGTACGTCATCGCGGGTAGAACGCACTAGGTGCTGCTTTGCCGCCAAAGAAATACTACAAGAAATTGGATATGATTAAGGTTTCGGTAGCATAGGTAGTTGGTGCGTCCGCCCGGTTTGCTAAAAATCCAAGTTCGAGTCCAGCATGATACCTGGACCGTGTTCTTTGACTTCAGTTCTGTAGTGCGGCTGTTTATGTTTTTAATCTGCTTCCATTGTGAAAGGTGGATCCCGAGGAGATGTACGCGGAGGCGCTGGAAGGCAACCGCATCGATGACGTCATAGAAGAGCCTGCCGCCGCGCACTGCTACAGCTCCCCGTGCGCCACCAACGGTGACTGCTGCCGCGGACTCGTCTGTTTAGATACAGGTAAGGAAACATATTTTATTTAGAAAGAAAAAAGAGGAATTAAACCCCTCGACCTCACCTCACTCACACCGCAGAATGTTGAACTAACTTGTGACTCGTGACATGACGTCATACTTTTTCGTGCGTGTCGGTGATCATCTATACTTACTTCTATACTAATATTATAAAGACAGAAGATTTGACTGTTTGTTTGTATTCAATAGGTTCCAAAACTACTGGACAGATTTAAAAAAAAACTTACACATTTAGAATTCTACATTAGCCCTGAAGAACATAGGCTACAGAGTATTTAAAAAAAGTTAGAGTTCCTTATGGAAACTTTGATAGTGTAACCCTGAGTGTGAAAAAAATAACCTTATATCGATTATGCTGCGGAAGTCATTGACAACAGAACAAAGTGATGTACATATGTTTTATAAAGGACATAAATAGCTACAAAAAAGTCCGCGATGTCATATGTCTAACTATTAGTTATGTCACAACTAAAGGTCTCCTGCGGTTTCACCCGCGTTAATTTAAGGAAAAAAGTTCTTGTGAATCAAACTCAAAAGATGGGCCTCTTCTGTCGCGGACTTATAGAACTTTTAAAGAGTCAGTCATACATGATTTTTGTAACTTTAATCATTTACGCAGCACACGCAACGGAATTTGCCAAATGGAATATTTTTACCCGTTTTTACTTTACTGGTCGCAGCATAACATTATATAGCCCTAAGCCGTTTGCTATAAATGCACTATTTAACACAAAAAGTTTTTTTCATTTTTTCATTTCATTCCTGAGACAATGCGAGTTCAAACAAAAAAACCGGCCAAGTGCGAGGCGGACTTGCGTACCGAGGGTTCCGTACAAACTCAATTTAATACCTCTAAGCGTTCATGAAAAAAGAGGTAGAAACTTTAAAATTTTCAATAATATTTTTATTATATGATGTAACTAAAAATTTACCGTTTTCACAAATTTTCCTTTATCTGTACTATAAGACGTTACTTTGTACCAAATTTCAAGATTCTACATAAATTCACGGGAAGTACCCTGTAGATTTTGATTCCCGTGCGAGTTTCGAAAATTTGCGGAAATTTGCAGAATAAACGGCTGTCTGTATCTTTTGATTGCTTTGGCTTAGAAGTTTGATTTTTTCACAGCTCCAAGGGACACTAGACCTGAGTATTAGATATGAATTTCAGTTTGATACCTTCACGCGTTCCTGAGAAAAAGGGTCTTGACGGACGGACAACAAGGTAATCCTATAAGGGTTCCGTTTTTTCCTTTTGAGGTGCGGAACCCTAAAAATGGTGTATTCGGTACAACGGTTCCTACTACTAACAACGCAACACTATCAGTTAATTTATTTATTTATTTATTTAAACTTTATTGCCACAGTTACAAAAATGGACAAAAGGCGGACTTAACGCTAAAAGCATTCTCTGCCAGTCAACCTTTAGGCGTAGAGAAATTCACGAATGCGGCTATATAAAAAAAAAGTGATTAACTAAACATACACCAATAAAAGTAACTACATATATATTTATTTAAAAAAAAAACCCTAAATATACATGCATAGACTACAATTAAATATATGTATAATATATATAATATACATACATACATACATAATCATTATTAACATAGTTTATAAAATATATAATAATCATTAAATAAAGAAATTAATAACATTATATAGCCCTAAGCTAGCTTATGAAGTACTTAACATCAGATGGCGCGGAGTCATTTAATTTGAACTATCCACAAACACATCGATCTCAGCTCAGCATAATGCTGATGTAGCCATCGACGATACGATTACTACGATCTTAACTCAAATAGAAGCGTGCCTCAGGTCACGGCCGTTGTGTCCCCTAACAGAAGATCCAGAGGACTTGAACTTTCTTACACCATCTCACTTCTTAACTGGGTCCACTAGCTAGCTAGTGGACCCACTCTTATCATTTTAGAGACCGAAACGGACTTAAGAACCAGGTGGCATTTGACGCAAAAAATCTTTCAAGATATTTGGAAGCAGGGCAAGTGAAATATCTTACACAATTATCGGCAAGATCTAAATGGCGACAACCAAAAGAAAACATTCAAATCGACGATGTCGTCAGTATACGCGATACCAACCTACCTGCTGGGAAGTGGGATCTGGGACGAGTGGTAGACCTTTACCCTTGCAAAGATAATTACGTCCGAGTAGTCACCATAAAAACCAAAAATGTATTCGTGAAAAGGCCAGCCACAAAAGTATCAGTCTTAGCAGTATCAAATCACCAAGAAGAAATAAAACCAGCTTTTCAAATGCCTCACACATCCAAAAACCAGAAAAAAACAACCAAGAAAGTCGTTTACTACTTATTTGTCACTGCTACTAATGTTATTTACTTGCTTATTTACATCAGCTAGCTGCTCGTATAATATATATCCTTTAATCAAAAATAACGATATGTACTTCACTACGAGTATATGTATAGTATAAAGCAAAGTCGCTTCCCGCTGTCTGTCTCTATATCCCTATGTATGCTTAGATCTTTAAAACTAAGCAACTGATTTTGATGCGGTTTCTTTTAATAGATAGAATGATTCAAGAGGAAGGTTTATATGTATAATATATGCATAATATAGTAGAGAAACACTGATAATTTCAGAGGTTTTAATGTAAGGTGTACGTTTTCACTGTGTACGCCTATTGTGTACGTTTTCACTGTCATGTTTCATGTCTTGTATGTCCTGTGAGGTGTATGTCAATAAAGAATATTATTATTATTATTATTATTATAAGGTCGTAAATAAACACATTTTTTTGCGCTTACATTGCAAACGCTGGCTGAACCCTACGAGATAGATCAAAATAATGTATTACAGTATTGTACACCTTATAAAGGTCTACAAAAAAGTCCGCGATGGTAAATGCCTATCACTTTGGGATAACCCACAATAACCATTTTTTAATTACTTATTACGAAAAAATAATGGCTTATTTACGAAAAAGCGATTTTAAGCAATACAGCATTAATCCTTATCCAATTATGTACCTTAAATACATTGTGCATGTAATATAGATCAATATGGCCCTTTACAGCATGTAATTTAAATGAATATTTTTGAAGATATTATAGAGTTAAAATGCAGGAACATACCAGTTTGAGCGGTACTGGTAATTAGGTATTTAAAGAAAGTCATTGTGTTTAATAGAAGCCTGAAAACAAAAACTGTAGTCTAAACTAAAGCTCTACACCAAAGCGAAGCGAGGGCGGGCCACTAGTTCTCGATAAAACATCTACTATATGTATTTGATTACAGATGAATGGAAACTCTTCGTGTAATACGATTAAAACTAAAATTTATTTTCTTTTGTGTCTAAATGACAAGTATCTCCCATCGAACAAAAAAATAATCTAAATAAAGTATCGGAATAATCACACCGTCTAAGTTAACAAAAACACCCATAACATGAAAACTACTGCGCCAAATTGAATTAAATGTTTATGTGACTAAATGGCAACTATTCTGCATCGGACAAAAGAAAACACGACCAATCTCGTGTAATCGGTGTACATTCATCAAAAAATATAAATATTGGGAACCACCTCCTTTCTGAAGTCGATTAAAAAGTATTTTGCATTTTGCAAATACAAAATATGCCCTTAAAAGTATTTCAAATATAATGGAAAATGCTTTTCTGAAAAAGTATTTAAATGGATATAGGAATTTTGTATTTTGCATTTCAAATACTGTTATTTTTAAATGTCACATCTCTGATTATGCACAAACACAAAATGGTAATTTCCAACGGCCTCTAAAATATGACATTTCGTGTAATCACTTAAGTGGTACACATTTTAGGCTAATATTTTTTTTCTCCTAAAGCAACTTGAGTGCTATTTAAAATCAATTACCTACCTTCCGGGGGAAAATTCATTATGAATTCGTATTTCTAATTAGCATTAGCGTCGCTGTACAGCATAATTTTGTATAATTACCATTAGTGATTAATTTAAAAAGCGGTGTTAAATCATGGATATTGCGGAAACCTCAGGCGAAAATTGTGACGACCTTTAATGCGGGGTCGGAAAAGTATTTCTGCATGGTCTATAAAGGTGGTAATCTCATTAGGCCTGCGGTCGTAATAGTTAAGCAACTTTCGCAACGGCCGGTCATTGGATGGGTGTCCAAAAACTAATTACACGAGCTCATCCGTGCTTCGACGTTAAGCCGTGTCGGTCCTGGCTGCATCTCCAGTGACCGTTAGCACGTGACCCACCAATCCGCACTGGGGCGGAATGGTGGGTCACGGCCCAGTCTCCCTATTCCACCTATAAGGAAGGCCTGTGCCCCAGCAGACGAGACCTTAGTAGGCTGATGATGATGAACTGATGTTAATGTAACTGGAGTCCAGTCGTGAAAATATCTGATAAGGCGACCTTCATGTTAATGACAACGCAACAAATCTGAGAATACTAAGTGTCGCCGCACACGGACCACCGACCACAACCATAAAACGCTGCCACCGGCATATTGCTTGTAGTTTTCATACATTTTACATAGACTTGCCACACATGGTACGCCGGTGGCCGCCACACGCTACAAATGGTCGTTGCTCGCTTCTTGTGGCCCGCACCGGCCACTTAATATGCCAATACAAAACGCCGCCACACGTCACTCGCGCGATTCCCCAACCCTCTCTCCCTTACCTCAGTCGGCCGCTGTCGCGCGCTTCAGCCACTTTAGTAGCCGCTTCTAGCTTCTCGTGGCGGCGTTTGTGGCTGTGGCGTGTGCCCCGTGTGCGGCGACACTTACTTCCATAGCGTGCATTTCTCTAAATAATCGGGCAACTAATGTTTGCACACCGTATGCTGTAACTCCGTGACATGTCTTCGGCGGTTTTTTTTTCACGATTCAGAGAATCGCCCTCGCTGGCCATTATAACGTAAGCTGCTTAAATAATTACAGTTGAGTGTAATATACTACCTACCTACGTCCTACGTCATGACGGCTCTAAATT